TTTTTAGGTAATTTTGGACGAAAAACGTGGTAAAAAAGGTTAAACGGAGCAAAGCCGGGAAAAAGAGCGCGAACAAGGACCGAACACACCAGGACCACGCACGAGAAAAAAGAAGAGAAAGGGAAACATTCCCCATTCACGCACTCCCTCACGGCGTGAGAGGAGCGTGAATGGAAATTTGAGGGGGTTAAAATCTTATTCACGCTGGCTGTGAGGCCCAGCGTGAATAGGGTGGCAATTTATATCCTACACCACGGCGCGCGTTGCACTATGCGCCCAGATGCAAAACGACGTCGTTTTAATTTTTTTTTTTTTTTTAAATTTCCCGCCCCAGTGAATGGCAGTAGTTTTTTCTTTAAAAAAAAAAACCCGTTGTTCAAGAATGTACATAATGTTATACTAGAATACACATAATGTTATACATGAATGTACATAATTATATAACAAAATATACATACTCTTTTTAAAAGATAATACACATAATCTAACATAATACATAATAAACATAAACTTTTAACATAATACACATCAACTCTTAACATAATACACACAAATTTTCTGATTTGGATGTACATAATTGTATAAAAAGAATGTACATAATTGTATAAAAAATACACATAACTGTATGAACCAATACACATAACGTTGTGAACAAATACACATAATGTTGTGAACAAATACACATAATCTCAGCAACTTCCTACCGCGCCTCCCAACACTACCCCAAAACGACGTTGTTTTGGGAGGCGCGGCGCACAGTGCTATGTGCGCCATGGTGTAGGATATAACGATTGGAATAGGGTGACGAATCAGAATTGCTTATTTAAGGCCAAAATTCAGCATTTGGAAGGGAGTTCAATTCTATTTCTACAATTTTTAGAGAGAAGCTTTAGGTTAGGGTTAGTTTTCTTCTTTTCTTTTCTAGGGTTTTAGCCTCAAATATAAATTGGGAAGGAAGATTGAAGATCTAGAGTTTCTATAGCTTGGATCTCTCATTTCTCACCACCATTTGAAGGGATCTAGCTTGGATTGGGTGAAATCTAAACTCTATTCTTGTTATCTATCTTTTGCATTTCATCTATCTCCTAATTGCTTGATCTTGGCTTGTATAATGGTTGGCTAAAATTCTAGTAGTGGATTGAATCTCATTTATTTGTGCTAAATATGCATTGATCTATTTGTTTGGCTATATGTTGATGTCTTGTTGGAAGTGGATTTTGTATTGCCTTGTATATGTGTTGTGCGTGCTCTTGCGTAAGGTTTAAGATGTGTGTATTAACAAGAGATTGTGATACATCCTAGTCTTGTTCGTAAGAGTGTATTGGTGAGAGGTCGTGATATACTCTAGCCTTGCTAGCGGGTAGTGTGTTTGGCTTGACTTATGCTTGCGTTTGTGCACCACATGTATGAGTTTTGAGAAGAGTGTATTGGCAAGAGATTGCAATACACTCTAAGCCTTTCCACTTGCATTTCCCACCCTCAGATCCGAGAGGATAAGGCCCGGAATGAGATGTAGAGAAAGTGTTTGATGAAATGCTCATAAGGAACGTGGTCACGGAACGGTGGTTCCACACCTATGAAAGACCTAGTAACCGAGCGGTGAACGACATTGGAAGTCATCTCGCTTGACTAGATCAACACTAGCCCAGATTCACCTCACACGCACAAAGGAATGTGAATCCTAATCCACTACGCTTTCTATTTTATAGTTTCTTTTATTTCTTTCCGTAGTTTCCTTTGATTATGCCTTTCCCTTACACTCTCTTGAACATATGCTCGAACCCACACTGTTTGCACCTAGTTTTCCCTTGTTAATTCACTGTGACACATGATTGTCTTGCACTCTACTTACTCCGCATTGCCATCATTGAGTACGACACTACCACATCTAATGTTTTGACGACACTCCTAAAAAGAGAACCGTAAACAAAAAACGTCTGGTCACTCCCCTTTCTCTATGGGACTTCATATAGGCGCACACCAATCACCATCTAATAGCTCTGAAAGTCTTCAATAGAGAAATATCCTGGGCGAGGATAAACATTGGAGTCGTAGAAAAAAGTAAAATTGAAAAAAAAAAAAAAAACTCTTGATCGTGAAACATGCACTCTCTAGATTTTATGGAATCACCTCATGGGACTTCATATAGGCCAGGTGCGTACCAATTGCAGTCTAATAGCTCTGCAAGTCTTCAATGGAGAAATATCCTGGACAAGGATAAACATTGGAGCTGTAACATTTGTATGTTAGTATACATATCTATATCTCTATATATAACTACTCAATATAAATAAATGAATAAATGAATATAAGGAAAAAATATTACCAAATTAATAGATTTACCAATTAGGTTAATACGTGGTTGTGTAAACAATATTATCAATTAATAGATTTTATTTAATTTCTATTTAAATTTGGTTACCAAATAAGTTTTAGAGTTAATTTCATCGGAGGTCCCTTGTCTTTGGTGGCAATTCTAAATTTAGTCCCACACTATCGTTTTTGTCATTTTACATCCCAGACTATTATTTTTTGGACACTTTTACAGCATGTTTGGTTCACGGAATGAATTTTGAGGTAATAGGAATGCTATTCCATAAGGAATGGAATAGGCAAGAATATAATGGGAATTGTATTCTATTGTTCGGTTCGCGGAAGAAATAGACTTTAGGAATTATATTACAGTGTTTGGTTGATTTAAGGAATAGAAATGAAATATGTTTTAAAAGACATAAATACCCTTATAAAAATATGTGATGGTGGCAATGGTGGTGGTGGTGGTGGCGGCGGTGGCGGTGATGGTGGTGGTGGTGGCGGTGGTGGTGGTGGGGTGGTAGTGGTGGTGGTGGCGGTGGCGGTGGCAGTGGTGGGGGCGACGGTGGTGGTGGTGACGGTAACGGTTGTGGCAGTGGTGGTGGGGGCGGCGATGGTTGTGGCGGTGATGGTGGTGGTGGTGTTGGGGTGGTAGTGGTGGTGGTGGCGGTGACAGTGGTGGGGGCGACGGTGGTGGTGGTGACGGTGACGATTGTGGCAGTGGTGGTGGGGCGGCGATGGTTGTGGCGGTGGTGGCGGTGGTGCTGCTGGGTGGTGGTTCTGGTGGCGGCAGCGGTGGTGGTGGTGGTGGTGGTGATGGTGGTGGCGGCGGTGGTGCTGGGGTGGTAGTGGTGGTGGTGGCGGTGGCAGTGGTGGGGCGACGGTTGTGGCGATGGTGGTGGTGGCGGCGGCGGCGGCGATGGTGGTGGTGGTGGTGGTGGCGGCGGCGGCGGCGGTGATGGTGGTGGCGACGACGGTGGTGAAATAGGATAAATTTACATATAGGATAAAAAAATTAGGTTAAAGAAAGGGGTAAAAAAGAAAATAGATTCTAAAATCTATTCCTGAGCATTCAGTAATAGGCTAATACCAGGGGGGGCCTAGTAATAGCTATTACCTTATTTGAGGTAATAGGCTATTACCAGGAATATTATTCCTGGTAATAGAAATGGTTACCAAACAAAAGAATAGACCTATTACTGGGAATGCTATGCCATTTCCGGCCTATTCCGTGAACCAAACAGGCCATTAGTTCTTCTCATGATTTTTTCTATTTTTAATAAGAGCATTTTTGTCTCTTCATATTTTTCTTTTGCTATTTTTCCGGTTTCAGCCAGTTTAATTGGTTTAGAATTTTAGGTAACCTCTGATTTTTAGTAACCATATTTTTCAACCAATTTTTAGTAAAGTTCTAAACCAATTAAACTGGTTGAAATCGAAAAAATAACAAAAGAAAAATATGAAGAGACAAAAATGTCCTTACTAAAAATATAAAAAATCATAAGAATGACTAAAAGTTTCCAAAAAACGATAGTCTGGGATGTAAAATGGCAAAAACGGTCTGATACTAAATTTGAAATTGCCACCAAAGACAAGGGACCTCCGGTGGAATTAACTCTAAGTTTTATTACAAAAGTTTGGACAGGAAAATGAAATTGGAGGATTTTACTTTTATATATATATATATATATATATATATATATATATATATATATATAATAATAATAATATAATAATAATAATAATAATAATATAGATATAGATTTTATGTTAAAAGTGAAGAATAAATTTCAAAAGAAAAGATTCCTTTGTTTCTTTAAGGGAAAATGACACTTTTTCCCCCTATGTTATATACTTAAAGCACTTTTTCCCCCTCAATTATTTATGTAAGCACATTAGCCCCCTCAATTATTTTAAAAGTGGTGGTTTTCCCCCCTAATATATTAAATTGACATTTCTACCCTTAAAGTAAGCATTTTATTTATTTTACTTCTCCAACAAATTATTGCGTATATGTAGCGATTACCACGGTTCGGTTCGAACTGAACCAGACACTATAGCAATCGAATTAAAAGTTTTCAGTTATGATTCAGATCTAGAATCCAATATTTGGATTTCAATTTATTAAATTTAAGAATAAAAAAAAACTGGATCATGAACCGGCGGTTCCGGATCCCGTTCGCGATTTTGAACCGTCTTTATTTTAAAATTTTATTTTTTATTTTAAAATAGTTTAAATTCAACAATAAATGTATTTTATTTTTTCAGTTCGGAACATGAACCGGTCATTCCAGTTCGCGATTTTAATAAACTCTAAATATCGCATTTTGATTATAAATTGTAATTGAAATATTTTGGTTTGGTTACTATAGTATCTGGTTTGAACCAAATTATAGTAATAATTTATTGGAGAATAAAAATAAATGAAATATTTATTTTAAGGGTAAATATGTCCATTTAACATTTCAGGGGGAAAAAGAGCCACTTAAATACTTAAATAATTAAGGAGGAAAAAGTGCTATAAGTATATAACATAGGGGGAAAAAGTGCCATTTTCCCGTTCTTTAAAATGTGCACAAAATTATTAAAAAGTAATACAGCAGCCAGCAGGAGGCAGGCAGGAATCAGGATGACGGTGAAATTAATATTTGCGCGTATAATTTAATTTATTCATTCATTTATAAACGAATCTGAGAAGTCCAAGTAAGTGTGGAAGACCCCGCGTGTAAATTGTTTGAGCTTTTTTTGGTATGGCATGGCCTTCAACTCCGCCGCTCTGACAACCACCGCGATCTCACTATTCCTCCTTGCCACCGTCGCCTTCTTCCTCCTCCACCTGCCGCCTACATATTCCTCTAACCATCCATCAAAACACATATTACTCTCTCCTCACAGGTCTCTCCTCAATTCCCCCCAACCCTCCTGCAGATTCTTCAGTAGTGATGAATCCGATGGACTCTTCAACTACTTCTCCATCCACTCCTGCCTCTTCCGCCAAAACCCATTTCTCTCCGTCCCGTTTCTTGGGCTTTTCGTGCTCCTTTACTTCTACATCCTCATCACTACGGCCCAGGCCCACTTCTCCGTCGTGGTCACCAAGCTCGTCGCTCATCTCCGCCTCTCGCCGTCCATGGGTGCGGTGACGCTCTTGGCGCTGGGGAATGGGGCCCCGGATGTGTTTGCTTCCGTAGCTGCCGTCAAGGGAGGCCAGCCCAGAACTGGATTTGGGGCGATACTCTCTGCCGGGACTTTTGTCTCGGCTTTTGTTGTGGGCTTCGTGTCCATTTATGCCGCGCCCTTTCCGGTCGATCCGGCCCCGTTTGTGAGGGATGTTATGTTTTACTTGACAGCCGCCATGTTCCTGTTCTATGTGTACCTGAGTGCTGAGATTTTCCTCTGGCAGGCTGTTGGATTTGTGGGGTTTTACCTCTTCTTTGTCGGGATTGTGTTTTGGATGGATTTGGGAGAGGGAAATAGGCGCGGCAATAGGGCTGAGATTGAAATGGGTTCGATTGGCAATGGTAAGACTCATAAAAGGATGGGCGACTGTGAAAACGGCAAGTTTTTAGGTTCTCCAGAAATTAAGAATCCCAGTTCTGGGTTATTGCTAGCTTATGAGAAGGTATGTTTCAGATGGATACTCAAAATTTAATCTTTCCTTAGTTATAACACTTGTTTTAATGAGTGTGATTGATTTTGGGTATAACTTTCCTAGTTTACCATCATCTTGGAACTTAACTAATTTAACTCTGATCTATTTGCTTTAATGACCTTTAGAACTTTATGATGAGCTCAATCTTGCAATTTCCATCAGTTCAAAGAATCATTGGGCTATAAAATTACTAATAGTGGTGAAACGAATTACGAATGTGTGTTGTATATTAAGAAATTCCTTTCCCGTCTAGAGTATTGAAGATTAAAAAGACTTGATAAACTGGATAAACTAAACATATGACTTTGTGCCACACCTGAGTTAATGTGTTGTTCACAGGGTTTGGTTTTTTGCTACATGCTAGCCAGGCTTTTATGTTCGCTTAATTGTTCTTCAAGGTTGACTGGGCTAGTATTAGAATAAGGAAATAGTAGTCAATTTTTCTAGAATCTCATAGAGCATAGTGATCTTGTAGGACTTCTATGCTTTAAACACTTGAAATGCTGGATATATGTGAGGCTCCTAGCTTATGGAACTCTCTTCTTTCTTCCTTCTGTGCATGTATCTAGTTTTATTATTGTTCGAGTAAACTACTTTCTTCCCCACCTTAAACATAATAGGAGATTGTGGTTTTCCCCCATTTTCTGTCTACTGGAAAGGAGGGCCTTTTGGTAAAGTCCCACCACTTATCATATCAATCCCAGCAGTTTGCAGCATAGCTAAGTAGGAGCCTTTGATTTTATATGCGGTGAATATTCTTGACATCACCAATACAAACATTTATAGAATTTTTATTGTATTTGCTATGTTAATCTAGTTGTTGAACAATGAACTAGACTTCTAACAAACATATTTTGACCCTGTTTGGTAGGCCAATTTTGGCTTATTTGACCACTATTAATTGTTTGATTTAGTTAAAATATCAATATAAATGTTTGGTTAATTAGCTTTTTGCAACTCCAAAAGGCTAAAATTCAAAGAGCTACTCCAAGCAACTTTTTCAATTAGCATTTTGAGAAAAGAAATTATACCAAACAGCTATCAGCTAACAGCTAATTTACCAAACACTTTTCTAACTAATAAATCTGAATAATGTTTGCTAGCTTCTTCTCCCAAATACTGCCTACTGAACCATTGAGTTAAGCCCGTGCGGGCATAATGTTTGCTAGTTGTCTATTACCTCTGGTGGTCATTATGCATTTATTTTGACTCGCTTTTTCCCATTCTCTACAGATATCGCAGGTATGGGAGCGTCCAGTCTCAATGCTCCTGAAACTTACAATCCCCAACACTTCACCTTCGGGGTGGAGCAGATTTTATCAGTCTGCCAATATCGCTCTCTGCCCCCTGGCCCTTTTGTACTCATGCAGATCGTTTATGTCCTTGAATCATCCAGTTGCGTTTCTTCTCTCAAACACCCATTTTCCTCTTTGGTTTGTAGTACTATGTGGGAGCTCCTCTCTAGCACTTCTTCATTACATCGTTGAAAAGGAGCCTCCGAAATCCGAGCAAATGCCTTCAATCCTTGCCGCATTCATAATGAGTGTGTTCTGGATATCAACTGCAGCGGGAGAGCTACTCAACTGCCTTGCAGTTCTTGGAGTGCTTCTGAAACTCCCCTCTGCTCTTCTCGGTTTGACAGTGCTCGCATGGGGAAATTCAGTAGGTGATCTCGTTGCAGATGTTGCCGTTGCAAAGGCAGGTCAGCCCGCCTTGGCCATGGCCGGGTGCTTTGCCGGCCCCATGTTCAACATGCTTTTCGGGCTGGGAACGGCTCTGGTCATACAAACGGGGGACGTTTATCCAGAGGCCTACGAGCTTCATTTCCATGTGAGCATAGTTGTGGCATTCGTTTTCTTGCTCGTTAGCTTGATGGGATCCTTACTTGTAGTAACTTGGCACAGGTTTCAAGTCCCCAGATTCTGGGGATTCTGCCTTGTTGGACTTTACTCCTTGTTCATGTTAGTGAGCCTGGTAATTGCAAAGTTTTCTGCATAATGTTTAGGCAGAGGGAACTTGATGTCATGGCAGTTGCATTATCATACATTCTTTTAGCACATTTTTATTGTAAATATCTAAGTCTCTCAACATTAGAGGTAATACGATACAGAAACTTTATCTCACATATTCTCTTGTTCAAAAGCGGAACTATATGTTCATAAATATAAAACTATATATTCATAATTTTTGGATTTCATATTTGAACTATATATTCACAATTACAAAATTCTATGTTCATAATTACTGAATTATATGTTTATAATTATAAAGTTATATATTCATAATTTTTAAACTTTATATTCACAATTATTGAATCTCTATATTCATAATTATTGAACTCTATATTCACAATTACAGAACTCTGTTCATAATTACTGAAATATATGTTCATAATTATAAAGCTATATATTCATAATTTTTGAACTTCATATTCACAATTATTGAATCTCTGTATTTATAATTACATAACTATATGTTCACAACTCTATGTTCATAATTATAGAACTCTATCTTCATAATTATTGAACTCTATATTCACAATTACAGAACTCTATGTTCATAATTACTGAAATATATGTTTATTATTATAAAGCTATATATTCATAATTTTTGAATTTTATATTCACAATTATTGAATCTTTGTATTCATAATTATTGAACTCTATATTCACAATTATAGAACTCTATGTTCATAATTACTGAACTATATGTTTATAATTATAAAGCTATATATTCATAATTTTTGAACTTCATATTCACAGTTATTGAATCTTTATATTCATAATTATTGAACTCTATATTCACAATTACAGAACTCTATATTAATAATTACTGAAATATATGTTCATAATTATAAATCTATATATTCATAATTTTTTAACTTCATATTCACAATTATTTAATCTCGATATTTATAATTACAGAACTATATGTTCACAACTCTAGGTTCATAATTATAGAACTATATGTTCACAATTTTTGAATTATATATGATGTGGATAATTACCCGGAGTGTATACCGTATCTATAAAGCAGGGAAGAAGACATAAATGTAGCTCAAAAAGGCCTTTTAATCATTGTATAATTTAGAGAGCTTGTAGAGGGAGTTGAGATGCTTCTAGGTGTAGAGAGAGGGAGGAGAGAGAGAGAGAGAGAGAGAGAGAAACCCCTAAAACGAAGGGTCAAGGCCCCTTTTATAGGCAGAGAAGGAAATCAGAGAGGAACCCAAGCATAGGCAAGTTTAACTTTGACTCGAACCGTTTGACCTCTGACACAAACAGGAGCATGTAGCGTACATGGAGCTTGAACCCGAGGTATATTCCCCATCAAGAAGTAAGGGTGGGCACATTCCGATCTGACTCGAATTTTCCACGGATTCGACCCGCTGAACACGACTCGGGTTCGATATGTCACGGGTCGCACCCGATGAAAACAAAAGGAAAATAGGGGGTTTCTCGGGTAGGGAAATTTTTAATTTCGAATCCGACTCAAGACTCGAAATTATATATTTATATATAAGCAATTAACTTGTGTAATATGAACAATAATGTAAGAACAATTTTGTCCGATAAAAAAAAATAATAGTATAATATTAGTAAAGTAATATACAATTGTACCATTATAAAAAAGAAATACAAAAAAATGTTAATACCATAATGACCTAAATCATTCCAATAATGTAAAAGCATAATTGAACATTAAGTTTGTTCTAAATAATCAAAAGAAGATTAATTAAACGTTAAAAAAAAAAAAAAAAAAAAAAAACTTAACCTAAATTTATTTTAAAAAAAAAAAACAAGAAAATCAAATGATTTTTAAAGTTCCCGATTTATAATCTTCGATGCTCAACTTTGAATGCTATGTATTTAGTCGGGCTAATTATTTGACCAAAGTTTATGTTAAATTTTATATTATATATTTTTAAATACATTTTAACATATTCATAATATATGTTTAACAATTATGTCAACTTTAATTGGGATGTGGTTCGAACATAAGACATTTCTTATATAAATTAATGAGTATGTTAAAAATAATAAATGTTACTAAAGTTTATACTAACGGAATTTAAGGTTATTTTAGGGAAGGAAAGAATATAATAGAGGAAAAATAAGGAAAATCATTAAAAATTACTAAAATCAAAATAATATTAACCATTCATTTTAAGAAACAATACTACAGATATTTTTTTTTTGTTCCGGTTAATGGCCTAACTGATACGGGTAATTCCCGTGTACGTAGAATGTATATTGCATGTATGAACAATGTAGAATAGACAAGAAGAATCTAGCTCAAGAGTTCTTTTATTCATGTTGTTCTTCTATGCCTCTAGAGAGAAGGGAGAGGAATGAGTGTCTAGAGAGAGAGTAGAGCTAGTGGAAAGAGGGGAAACCCCTAAAATGAAGGGTTAAAATCCCTTATATAGGTCAACCCAAGCCGGGTTTGACATTGACCCGAACCGTTTGACCCGACCCAAATAGGAGCACGGAGCGTACGGGGAGCCTGAACCCGGGGTATATTCCCCATCATGAAGCACCCCCAGTCCGTGCCCTGACGATGAGTTAGCGAGGAAGGATTCGGGCTGGAGAACTGATCACACGGTCCGTGACTTGCACCGGTTGCCTCGTTAAAAACCTTAAGCTAATAAAAAACCCAATGGGAAAAACTTTAGCTAAGGAAAAAAGAGCACAACGCTAAACGCAGTCTGGTGGACTAAAAAAGGGAGTTGCCCGACCTAGGGGTCGGTTTTGCAACATGATTCGAGAGGTCGAACCTTTACCGGACGAACGACCGGGAAGCTAGCTAAGATTTGGAGATCGGTTAGCTGCGATCTAGAGGTCTACTTTACCGGTCTGCCGACCGGGTTTCTAGGTACGACCGGGAGGTTGGATTTATTTGCGATTTGGGGATCAAACTTTCTATGACTTAACACTAGGAGACCAGGAAGGTCGATCTACGCGGGAGCGCGACGAGCTACTACATGTGTAGCACTTCACTCCCTTAGTTGCGAGAATCGTCAACATAAGGTAGTAGATACGATAGTTTTTCGAGTTTGCATTGCAACTTTAATCGCGACCGGTAAATGAATCGACTGAACTCACGATGCCGATGCATCAAACTATACTTCGGTCGACCGGGCGTAGAGCGCCGGTGGTGGCTATGCCGACCTAACCAGGCGTAGAGCGCCGACGGTGGCAATGATGCCGACCGGGCGTAGAGCGCCGGTGGTGGCTATGCTTAGCCCCCCGAGTTCGAGCGGCTATGACAGTCGGTCAATTGCCAGTCGGACTGAATGGAAGGAGACGCCAAAGAAACGCGCATATAGCCCCCCGAGTCCGAGCAGCTATGACGATCGGTCAATTGCCGGTCGGACTGAATGGAAGGAGACGCGAAAGAAACGCGCTTATAGCACCCCGAGTCCGAGCGGCTATGACCGTCGGTCAATTGCCGGTCGGACTTAGTGGAAAGAAACGCGCGTATAGCCCCCCCGAGTCCGAGCGGCTATGACGGTCGGTCAATTGCCGGTCGGACTTAGTGGAAAGAAACACGAAAGAAACGCGCGTATAGCCCCCCCGAGTCCGAGCGGCTATGACGGTCGGTCAATTGCCGGTCGGACTACAAGAAGAAGAGGGTAAACACGAAAAGACGCGCGTATAGCCCCCCGAGTCCGAGCGGCTATGACGGTCGGTCAATTGCCGGTCGGACTACAAGAAGAAGAAGGGAACGCGAAAAGACGCGTGTATAGCCCCCCGAGTCCGAGCGGCTATGACGATCGGTCAATTGCCGGTCGGACTACAAGAAGAAGAGGGAAACGCGAAAAGACGCGTGTATAGCCCCCCGAGTCCGAGCGGCTACGACGGTCGGTCAATTGCCGGTCGGACTACTAGAAGAAGAGGGAAACGCGAAAAGACGCGTGTATAGCCCCCCGAGTCCGAGCGGCTATGACGGTCGGTCAATTGCCGGTCGGACTACAAGAAGAAGAGGGTAAACGCGAAAAGACGCGTGTATAGCCCCCCGAGTCCGAGCGGCTATGATGGTCGGTCAATTGCTGGTCGGACTACAAGAAGAAGAGGGTAAACACGAAAAGACGCGCGTATAGCCCCCCGAGTCCGAGCGGCTATGACGGTCGGTCAATTGCCGGTCGGACTACAAGAAGAAGAGGGGAACGCGAAAAGACGCGTGTATAGCCCCCCGAGTCCGAGCGGCTATGACGATCAGTCAATTGCTGGTCTGACTACAAGAAGAAGAGGGAAACGCGAAAAGACGCGTGTATAACCCCCCGAGTCCGAGCGGCTATGACGGTCGGTAAATTGCCGGTCGGACTACAAGAAGAAGAGGGAAACATGAAAAGACGCGTGTATAGCCCCCCCGAGTCCGAGCGGCTATGACGATCGGTCAATTGCCGGTCGGACCACAAGAAGAAGAGGGGAACGCGAAAAGACGCGTGTATAGCCCCCTAAGTCCGAGCGGCTATGACGGTCGGTCAATTGCCAGTCGGACTACAAGAAGAAGACGACATTGTGGTCGTTCGGGCAGCAAGACCGTAAGTTTAAGCGACATTGTGGTCGTTTGGGCAACAAAGGCCGAAAGTTTAAGCGACATTGTGGTCGTTTGGGCAACAAAGGCCGAAAGTTTAAGCGACATTGTGGTCGTTTGGGCAACAAGGCCGAAAGTTTAAGCGACATTGTGGTCGTTTGGGCAACAAGGCCGGAAGTTTAAGCGACTTTGCGGTCGTTACAAGTTTAAGCGACTTTGCGGTCGGTACAAGTTTAAGCGACTTTGCGGTCGGGCTTGTCCTTGTGGGTCGGGAGACCAGAATTGCCTACTTAGTAGGGCTTGGTGCTGGGATTTTTCCCGGGCTTAACAGTGCCGATGGTGGCGTGGCCGACCTGACCGGGCTTAGGGTGCCGGTGGTGGAATACCAACCTAACCGGGCTTATGGTGCCGGTGGTGGAAATACCAACCTAACCGGACTTATGGTGCCGGTGGTGGAAATACCAACCTAACCGGGCTTATGGTGCCGGTGGTGGAAATACCAACCTAACCGGACTTATGGTGCCGGTGGTGGAAATACCAACCTAACCGGGCTTATTACAATTAAATTCTAACAATTACAATT